TTTTTGTATATACTTTTTGTTGCACTTATCGAATTTTTGTTGTTAATATCATTAGATAACCCCGACTTTTGTATAAATATGTTTAGTTTGTATTTATTTGTGTTTTTCTGTACATAGTCTACCGTTTTATTTTTTTTCCATTTATTTTGTAGGTATTTGTTGCATTTTGGAGCATTGAGGAATAAGGTGTCGTAGGCACAGCTCCGGATGCATGGTTTTGAAATAACAGATCAGTTTTAGGACATTCTGTCCAGGAGAGCCCGCTTAGCACGCAGGAGGCTGCTAAGCGCAAGTAGCGCTTAGCGCATTTTGTAGCCCGCTGCTTGCGTTCTACTGTTTTGGAAAAACCAAAGTTTTAAAGCCCGCTTAACGCGGATAATGCTCTTAGCCCAGTTTAGGTCGGTTTGGTGTTTAAATATCGTGCAACCCGTTGAGGCCGCTTAGTGCGGTCTGCTGAGATTTGTTTTATAACTTCATTTTCAGTCATTTTTAGGTTATGGTTTTGGGGAAGTTTTTGCTCCCAACTCCATAAACTTGTAATTTTTTTAAGGATTAACTTAGATAACAACTATGGAGCTTTCATACGGATGATCTGGGGTGGATTGCTCTTAGATCGGCACCGACAAATCGGTAGACATGCGATTCATTTCTCTTCCTCTTTGTGTAATCTTCTATGGTTGGGTTTGTATGTATATTTTCTTTGATCTAATGTATATTTGTCTCCCTTGGCATTATATAAAACTTACTTTATGAATCTTTATGGATTATTGTCCTAGATTTTTTCTCTTTGCTAAGGATTTGAGTTGTTATAGACATATCCTGCTTAGGTTCTTATCTAGGATGATTAATTTGTTAGTTTCTGAACTCTAGAGATAGATTTAGAGCTGACAATCTACTTGGGTATCAGAGCTTAAAGACTCTGTTGTTTGTTTCGTTCTGAGAGATCGTTGATACAGGCGAGCATGATTGACTTCTGCGTTGTCGAGGTGGTTGAGAGATCGCTACCGAGGTGATGCAGTAGGCCTCTCAATTTGGGTTAGAAATGACTTAGGTTGTGGGTGATACATAGTGACATTGATGAGTAATGTTAGGTTGAGTGTAACAGGTCGATAGGTTTAAGTCAGTGAGAAGTAGTATATATGCATACCTGATAAGTTCTTCCTTAGTTGTTCCTTTTGTTTACATTCATTTTCTATTGATAACATTTTCTTTACAAAACCCATTCAAACCCAAACTCATTAACAATAATTTTTCGAACGACAATTTAATAACCAATCTCTGTGGACACGATAAATTCCCGGAAAAATATTTCCAAAACTTGTGTTACTTGTCGCTACACCGTTTCAACAAAATGGTGCCATTGTCGGGGATTGATTTTATTGTTTTCTCATCGTGATAATTATTTTGTTTTTGATTTTTTTAATTAATGTATATGTTGTATAGAAGTTGTATATTAACTTGTATATGATAATGGTGCATATATGTGTTTTTATTGGTTTTCACGTATTGTTGTAAATTGTCTCATTTTCGTAACGTTTGATGTGTGGATGTTAGGACACTTTCTTTAGGTTTGCGTGGTGTCAAAATACCATGGCATGAGGAGAGGAGGTTACTAGCTTGCACAATAAAGGCGTCGAGTTTACGACGTGAAACAAGCATGTTGTATTGTTTTAATTTTTATTCATTTTTGTTATGTGTTGACTTGTGTTTTAACAAGTTGAACTTGGATTAGTTATTAAATTTCAAATTTTCACTTTTCAACTTGTTAAATAGACTTTCAATTTTTGTGTTTCGTTATGTAAAATTGTGTTTTTTCGCAAGCTTGTCGTATTTAGCTTGTGGATGTGTGTTTGATAATGTTGTAAATATTGTAATTTATGTGCATAGAGTGTGTTGGTGATGGTGGAGTTGCATAGCAGCTGCACCAGATGCTGCTGTCTTTTTTTTTGCATCTGGTGTAGCGTGCTAAGCACGCTCCAGACTGCTTAGTGCGCTCTACTGTGCATATCCAGTAAATTATTTTTAAATTTTTGATTGGATTTTCTTTTTCCCACTTCCACCTAGGCCTTGTAGTAGTAAATATTATTAGTTTAGTTAATTCTTTCTTTTGTTGTTTGGACTTAATTTTGGCTCGATAGCTTGAAGTCGCTTTTGGTGATTTTCCATGTTTGAGTGTTTTAACTTACGAATGCATGTTAATGATTTTATTAAAGTATTTTACATGTTCGAGGTATGTGTTTATCGCTTTCTATTTTTTAGCATATTCATGATACATAGAGTTTTTACAATTTTTATGCCATTCATTCTTTTGAGCACTTGTTCATTTGTGATTCACTTTAGTTCCTACCCTTTTTATGAAGTAGCTTTCCATTGTTCACATATACTGGAGACCACAATGCTTGTTTTAACTAGGTTTTATTATGTTTAATCTTTTATTTGTGTTGATTGTATGAATGCAATAAAGTGATCAAGGAATTTTTTGTTTCATTTTTGAGCATGACTACCTTGGCCAAATAGTCAATTTACCTTGTGAGTGTGTGATCATTAGTAACCCCTTTTGACCCCTTTTTGTCGATATCCATGTTGTTTTTGTTAAATTCCCGTCTATGAGTATTTGGTTCATCTTTTTTTATAGATATTGATTCTTTTGTTTTCTTGAAACCTCAATTATGATTTGTAGTTGAATTTTTCCTTACCTTAGAAAGTAGTATTCACATTATGAAGATGGTTGGATTCAAGTTGGGGAGAAAAATGATTGTGTATTTATGTGGTGATTGCTATGAGGTTGAGAAAGAAAAGAAAAGAAAAGGAAAAAAAGTGAAGAAATAAAAAAAAAGAAAAGAAAAAAAAAAGAGAAAAAGCTTTGAAAAAGAAAAACAAAAAGAGTTCTAATAATGTTGTGTTAATAAGTGATGTGCTTTGGTGTGGAATTTTGTGTTTGAATCTTTGCTGAATTAATCACTCTCTTAGGTTTAGGCAAGTTTATGTTTCGATTAACCTTAGGAATTATCCCTTGTTTTTTAACCAAGCCACACTACAACCTTGAAAAGCCCTTGAGATTCTTGCTTTTATATTTTCAATGTAAATTTTAGAATGAATGCATAATTTAGTCTATTGTTTGCAAGATTGTTGGATGAGTGAAAATACCCCATTTTTGTGTGTTTTTCGTCTACTAATGATTATGTTTTCTAGGTGTGATTCATTTGTGAACTAGTATTGTTTTAGAATGTTTGGCATGATTTTCGTATTGAGCATTTATTTCATGTTTATGTTATCGTCGTAGCTTAGTGGTAAGCATGTTTCTTTGTGTGTATCATTTTTCAGTTGAGCCATCACATTTGTTTTCTGTTCTTAAAACTTGTTGATTCACGATTTTTGGTTTATTACTTTTGGTACTTTGAGTTGTTTGGCCTTGTTTGAGGACAAACAAGTTCAAGTTAGGAAGAGTTTGATAATTGTAAATTGTAGTTATTTTTGTATATACTTTTTGTTGCACTTATTGAATTTTTGTTGTTAATATCATTGGATAACCCTGACTTTTGTATAAATACGTTTAGTTTGTATTTATTTGTGTTTTTGTGTACATAGTGTACCGTTTGATATTTTTCCATTCATTTTGTAGGTATTTGTTTCATTTTAGAGCATTGAGGAATAAGGTGTTGTAGGCACGACTCCAGATGCACAGTTTTGAAGTAAAAGATCAGTTTTGGGACATTCTGTCCATGAGAGCCCGCTAAGCGCGAGTAGCGCTCATCGCATTTTATAGCGTGCTGCTTGTGTTCTACTATTTTGGAAGAACCAAAGTTTTAAAGCCCGCTTAGCACGGATAGCGCGCTTAGCGTGGTTTAGGTCAGTTTAGTGTGTAAATATCACACATCCCGCTTAGCACGCAGAGGCCGCTTAGCGCGGCCTGCTGAGATTTGTTTTATAACTTCATTTTCAGTCATTTTTAGGTTATGGTTTTGGGGAAGTTTTTGCTCCCAACTCTATCAAATTGTAAATTGTTTTTAGGATTAGCTTAGATAACAAATATGGAGCTTGCATACGGATGGTTCGGGGTGGATTTCTCTTAGATCGGCACCAACAAACCGGTAGATCCGCGGTTCATATCTCTTCCTCTTTGTGTAATATTCTATGGTTTGGTTTGTATGTATCTTTTCTTTGGTGTAATGTATATTTGTCTCTCTTAGCATTATATAAAACTTACTTTATGAATCTTTGTGGATTGCTGTCCTAGATTTTTGCTCTGTGCTAAGGATTTGAGTTGTTATAGACATATACTGCTTAGGTTCTTATCTAGGGTGATTAATCTATTAGTTTCTGAACTCTTGAGATAGATTTAGAGCTGACAATTTACTTGGTATCAGAGCTTAAAGCCTCTGTGTTGTTTATGTCGTTCTAAGAGATTGTAGATACAGGCGAGCACAGTTGACTTCTGTGTTGTCGAGTTGGTTGAGTTAGAAATGACTTAGGTTGTGGGTGATACATAGTGACATTGATGAGTAATGTTAGGTTGAGTGTAACAGGTCGATAGGTTTAAGTCAGTGAGAAGTAGTATATATGCATAACTGATAAGTTCTTCCTTAGTTTTTCCTTTTGTTTACATTCATTTTTTGTTGATAACATTTTCTTTACAAAACCCATTCAACCCCAAACTCATTAACAATAATTTGTCGAACGACAATTCAATAACCAATCTCTGTCGACACGATGAATTCCTGGATAAATATTTCCAAAATTTTTGTTTCTTGCCGCTACACCTCTTCAACACATAACCGAATCCCAAACTCGCTCATGGTTGCGAAGAAAATTCTCTTTTCCCTTGTGGGTTTCATTCGATATTTTCCCTTTCCTTTGGAATAAATAAAGATCGATGGCGACTCTGTTGTATTTCGAGCATGCGATATGCTCAAGAATATTTTTTGCGCTACGAGACTTGAATGTTCTGAAAGTGTTTGACAACATTGTAATCAACATGATGAAGTATTATCTAAATAAAGATGGAGTCTACCACTAATTGGATACTCATGGAAAAAATTTATGATGGCATATTCAAACCAAATGAGAAGGATCCCAAAGGTTATGTCCCTTGGAAGATTACACCTCCTACTGGTCCATTTGCACCACCTCCCACTAGTTCAAGTATCTTGCTTCATACTGTGAAAGATTATTTAGATGTGTGTGTTTATCAACTTATCTCTACTACTCAAGTCAGAGAAGAGTGCTTGATGGCTTGACTTGACGCAGAGACTACTGAAGTTAGGGAAAGAGAAGATCGCATGATGGCATATGTTGCAAGCATCAAGGAATCTCTCTCTACCCAAAAGGGTTTGAGATTTAATTTTGATATTGACGATTTGGATGTTGCCCCTGATCCTTGTCCATATAACCTTCCTTAGTTTAGCATGCATCCATTCCATCATTTTGAACATTTTGTTACAGTTTATTTATCTTTGTTGGATATCATCTTATTCTATTTTGGATATTGCGACTGATTAAACTTTTGGTTAGTTACATGTATACCATGGTTTTATCCATTTTGTTAGTTTGATCATTTTTTTATGTTATTTACCCTGCTATATCTTCTTATTTTGCAAATTATTTGAAATTCGTTACTCATGCGTATGTGCTTGTATGTTATTTTTTGGCTTTAAAATAGATCTCCATTGTATGGAATTTTGTATTGGTTTTCTATGAAGATTAAGTGTTTAATATATTTTTTCCTTTCTCTTTTTGATATTTGTCAAATGGGGGAGAAGGTTCACCGGAGGCATGGAAACTACTTCCTCCATAAAAATGTATGCTAGCCATATCTTGACCAGAGAAAACCTTTACGGAGTCAAGATTGAGAGAAATCTCTAAGCACTAGAAGCCGTGATCACCTTCTTAGAGAAATATACAACTCGCATACAACACCATAACAATGAACTCGTTGTAATTTTCGTCGAATGTGAAGACTGGGATATTAAAAGGGTTCTTGTTGACCAGGGGAGCTCTCTAGATATATTATATTAGGACGCGTTTGAAAGACTTCACTAATGGGATTCTTAGAGGAACAGGTACATGTAAAGGGATGTATCACCTTAAGGACCACCTTTGGAGAAGAATATAAAGCTAAGGAAATAAATGTTAAGTATCCTATTATCGATGCCCCCTTCATTCAATATGATTATCGGACGACCAAAATTTAATCGGATCGGTGTCGCCTTGTCTACTATGTATTTATGCATGAAATACATGTTCCCTGATGGACGAGATGGGTTATCCAAAGGGATCAGGAGATCACCAGAAAATGCTATGCATAAATCCCCAGGATGAAGAAGATCTACTAAGTGCAAAAAGGTCAGAAAGATAAGCTTGGGAATAACACTGCAATAGGAATTCTAAAAAGGTGAGGAAACCTCATCTTCAATCTCTAAGTCGACTAGAGGTTAAATATATATAAGATGTACCCCCCCCCCTCGAAGGCGTCATCATACCTTCTGAAATTCTGGCTGTCAGATCCCGGATGTCCTAAAATATGTCGAGACACCGGATCCGACTTCACACAAAATAATAAGAAGTATAAACAAATAAAACAATGCTGAAAGAAAATAGAACCAAATATGTTTACCCAGTTCGGAGACAACAACTCCTACTCTAGGGACTACAAAGTCAGGGATAAATAGTACTCTCTCCGACCTTATTTATAAGAAAATATTCTCTTTTTAGGTTCATTGAGTAGTGAGTGTATTTGGTCTACATAAAAGATCACATACATTCATTATTGAATGAACCTAAAAAGAGAATATTTGCTTATAATAATGGCCAAAGGGAGTATAAATTTGTAGACCTCATAGAAAACCTCCATTTTACATCCTACACACTTAATCATTGCCCTTTGTCTAACTTCTACCTAATACACACCTAGGTATGAGACCCTCCACAAATCCCTCTTCAATTATACTCAGCAATTGGAGACACTTTAACATAAGTAGAGAACAAAAACATAAGTTACTCTTCTAAGACACACAAAACTCAATGCTTAAAAGCTTATGATAATTGACACACAAGTTCTCAACGCTTCACAGCTTGTGAGTACCTGACACACAAATGTTCGATGCTTAAAAGTTTAAGAACATCTGACAATGAACTTTAAACTCAACAATAAGGATTTCTAAAACCCTAAAAAAATACACACATAAGTTCCACCTAAAACTAGGTATACACCAGTCTATTTATAACATTATTATAGATTGGGTTGGGCTTCAAAAATGCAACAGGGAGGTTGCACAAAGTCTGCAAAAACTTCTCCAAGATAATTGGTCGTCAATCAATAGTTTCCTAAAATGTCTTCATATTTAAAAATGATGCAAATATTCAAAAACCAACATAAAATAATCTGAGTTGTCAATCTTGGACGCCACATCAGCTAACTGAATATTCCCCAAATATTCAGTAATTGATAAATCAACTGAGATGTTACTAACAGATGATGCAGACACAATGTCGTATCTCCAGGTTGGGACATCTTTTTCGACATGTTGAAAACTATAAGTTAAGACTTCTTTATTCTACTTGTTGCTGCCAAGTTGCATTTACCAAAGTGATTACCAATCACAAATTTATAGAAATAACAATCTCCCCCTTTGACAAATTTTGGCTAAAACAACAAAATAACCCTTGCACACAATACAACATAATATATTTGAAAAATCAAACATACATATCAGAGGCACACCAACGAAATACAAACAAGCAAGGTTAGTTGCACAAAAATAGAAGCACATAACCAAAACACAGTTAGTAGTTAGAGGATCTATTAACACAGCTGCAAGACACATAGAGAGTCTAAGTTCTCCATGACATGATGTTGAGACATTATATCTAACATCCTTCAGTCGAGAACAGCAGGAGCTCCCCCTCAATACCTACTATCACAAAAATGGAGGAACATAAATTCTCCCCCTCACAAGTACCATCAGTAGTACCTGTTCCAGCACCCTCAATATCATACTACTTCCCCTTTTTAGCCATAATATGACAAAGGTAATAAGACTATACTAGAAAGTTATAAAGTAGCAAAGTTCATAAAATTAAAAATATCTTGGGTATTTAACCCTTACATAATCATAAATAAAAATAAAAAGGATCACAAGGAAGATCCAAACAAAATTGCATGACCAACTTTCACGCATCCTCTCTAGCTTGTGTATCAAGTGCAACACCATCCTTAGCATCTTCAATAGCAGATGCAACACCAACAGTAATTGCTATAAATCTTCATAGATACAAATTCCAAGTATCCTCCTCATGTTCTCAAACTGTGCAATACCAAGAGCATTTGTGAAGATATCAGTAAGCTGATTTTCATTACTAACATGCTCAAGTTTTATGACTCTGTCCTCCACAAGTTCCTTGATGAAATGATGCCTGATATCAATGTGCTTGGTCCTACTGTGTTGAATAGGATTTTTGGAAATGTTGATCTCACTTAAATTTTCACAAAATAATGTCATAACACCTTGTGTGACATTATACTCAGACAACACGTGTTCATCCATACCAATTGAGAGCAGTTGCTTCCTGCTGCTATGTATTCAGCTTCAATAGTAGAGAGAGTAACACAATTTTTCTTCTTACTAAACCAGAAGATCAAGTTTTTTCCTATAAAGAAACATCCCCCAGAGGTACTCTTCCTATCATATGCACTTCCAACTCAATATGCATCACAGAATCCCACCAGAATGGAACTTCAGTTATGAGAATACAACATTCCCTAATCACTAGTGCCATTAACATACTTCAGGATCCTTTTCACTTGATTAATATGACTCACCTTGGGTTCTTCTTGGTACCTCTCACAAACTCCAACTGCAAAGGTTATGTATGGTATGCTAGCAGTGAGATATAAAAGACTTCCAATCATGCTTCTATATAAACTCTGATCAACATTTACCCCATTTGCATATAGCTTCACGTGAGTAGGAGCAGGAGTTATCTTAAGTTTAGAATTTTACATTCCAAACTTCTTCAAAATATTCTTGGAATACTTACTTTGACACAAGAAAATAGAATCTTCAATCTGTTTAACTTTTAAACCAAGAAAGTGAGTCAGTTCACCTACCAAACTCATTTCAAATTCAGATTTCATCTGCTCAACAAAATGCTGAACCATTTCATCTGACTTTCCCCCAAAACCAATATCATCCATGTAAATCTGGGCTATCATAAGCTCTCCATCCTTATCTTTGAGAAAAAGGGTCTTTTCAATTCCACCCTTTCCATATCCATGATTGACAAGAAATTTAGTCAACCTTTCATACCAAGCCTTTGAATCTTTCTTTAGACCATACAAAGCCTTCTTTAGTTTTAAAAACATGGTTTGGGAAAGATGGATCAACAAATTCTTTTGGTTGTTCAACATAAACCTCTTCATTCAGGTACCTATTCAGAAAAGCACTCTTGACATCCATCTGATATATTTGAACTTTAAGTGACAAGCCACTCCAAGCTACAATCTGATAGACTCCAAGCGAGACACAAGAGAAAATGTTTCATCAAAGTCTACTCCTTCAATTTGAGTGTACCCTTGAGCAACCTGTCCGGCCTTATTTCTGATGAAACCTCCTTGTTCATTTTTCTTGTTCTTATACACCCAGTTTGTACCAATTACATTTGTTCCTTCAGGTCTTGGTACCAAATCCCATACTTCATTTCTCTTAAACTGACCAAGCTCATCTTGCATAGCATTAATCCAGAACTCATCAATCAAAAGCTTCTTTCACATTCTTTGGCTCAATCTTTGACATAAAACAAGCATTTGATAGAGCTTCCGTTGATCCAGTAACCACCCCTTGTCTAGGATTCCCTATTATAAGCTCATTAGGCTGATCCTTTTGGATCATGAGAGAAAGTCCTTTGTCAGCTACCCGAGGTTCTTCAACTTCAAAGTCAGCACTTGAGCTTGCAACATCTGTGGTAGGTGTTGTAGCATTTTCTTCAGGAATCACATCTTCAGTTGGAATGATTGTCTCAACTTCTTATGGGACGTCATCTTCTATTCATCAATGATCAAATTTGAAGATTCCATCATTATCGTGGTTCTGAAGTTGAATACTCTATATGCTTTACTGTTAGTAGAGTATCACAGAAAATTTTTGTCATCACTTTTAGCATCCAACTTCCTTCTTGGCTCTTGGTTAGCCAGAATGTAACACTTACTCCCAAAGACATGGAAGTATTTGACAGTTGGCTTTCCTCCTCTCCATAATTCATAAAAAGTAACTGAAGTTCAAGTTCTGATTGTCACCCTATTATGAATATAGAAGGCAGTATTCATGGCTTCAGCCCAAAAGTAAAAAGGTAAAATCTTGGAATGAAGCATAACTCTCTCACACTCTTTAATGGTCATGTTCTT